TTTTGGGTCCGGTCATGGGGCCTGAACTCTGGGCCTGGGCACTGTCCCTCAGCTCTTCAGCTCAAGGCTAGCACTCTACCACTTGAGCCACAGCGCCACTTCCGGCTTTTTTCTTTGTTGTTTATGTGGTGCTGAGGAATTGAACCCAGGGCCTCAGGCATGCAATGCAAGCACTCTACCACTGAGCCACCTTCCCAGACCCTGGGTCTTGTTTTTTAATCCAACTAGACAGTCTATGTCACTTAATTGGAGAGTTAAGTCCGTTAATATTGAGAGCTAGGACAGAGATATTTGGGAGTTCCTGCCATGTTATCCATCTTCTTGGGGGCAGCAACTGGGTTCTTTCTATGGTTCTTGGATTCTCAGTTTGGGTCTGGTTTCTTGGCCTTTATTGTGGTCTAGTTAGTTTTCTAAGTGTAGGACATCTTTAAGTATCTTTTGTAGGGATGGTTTGGTGGAGATATATTGTTTCAGTTTTTCTTTGCTATGGAAGGTTTTTATTTGACCTTCGGTTATGAAGGAGAAAGACATGATTTTTAAGTTGACTAAACTATTCTACCAGTGGGATTAATCACTGCACTTCCTGAGGGCAGTACCTTGAATATCCTATTTATCTGCTGCATAACTTAGTGCTACAGAACAACAATTTCTGTGTTTTCATCCATAGATCTACATGTGGCTTTTGGATGGTATCAATATGAGCCTCCAAGAGCTAAGAATTTCAAACTAAGAGGCCCATGTCTCAGGCTTGTAATCCTACCTACTCAGGAAGTTGAGATCAGAGGATCTGGTTTATAGCCATCTGAGTAAGGACAGTTCATGAAACTCATCTCCAGTTAACCATCAAAAAAATCAGAAATACAGCTGTGGCTTGAGTGGTAGAGAGCTATCATTGAGCACAAAAGCTCACAAACAGTGCCCAGATCTACATTCAATCCCCAGGACCTGCAAAGAAAAGAAAAAGCAAGCAAGTGAGAGAGAGAGAGAGAGAGAGAGAGAGAGAGAGAGAGAGAGAGAGAGGAGAGACAGAAACAGAGACACAGAGACAGAAACAGAAACAGAAACAGAGACAGACAGAGACAAAGAGAGAAAGAGGAGGGAGGGAGGGAAGGAAAGACGAAGAAGAGGAGGAGGAGGAGGGGAGGAGGAAGAAAAGGAGGAGGAGGAGAAGAGGAGGAAGAGAAGGGGGAGGGGAGGAGGAGGAGAGATGCACTTGAAGTGTTTAAAAAAATCTCCAGTAGGTGGCGGAAAGTGTTCACCTATTTGCAGCAGATGGACTTGTCCTATAGGCTAGAGGAAGAACTTGAAAGTAAAATAGTGCCTCCATCTAGGAACAATAGACCCAGATACAAAGGACTGTCATATCAGAATAATAATGTAAGAAGAACTTTACTACAATATTCCTAAATAAATGCACACCTATTAGAGCCATTATGTAGTTTTCTTCTCCAAAATTATATTATATTTCTTCTCCAAAATTAATATTCACATATTAAACCTATTATTATAGGCCAGGTGTAATGGATTACACCTGCAATCTTGACTACCCAGTGACAAGAAGACTGAAGTTCAAATCCAATCAGGTCACAAAGTCAGCATGTCCCCATCCCATTGAACAAGCTACTAGCTATGTAGGAGCCATAGTTAGATGCATCATGGTCTGTAGTAGGCTCGGAGAGAAAGAGCATGAGACTCAGGCTGGGAATGCTTGTAGCTATGAGGGAGACAGAGACTGGTGTGGTTCAAAGCCAACCTGGGAAAAAGTTCACAAAATTCTGTTTCAATCAATAAAAAGCCAGTATGATAGCACACACCACATGCCCATCATTCCAGCAACTTGAGAAACATAAATAGGGACATCACAGTCCAGGTAAGCCTGGGCATAAATGTAAGATTATATTTAACAACAAATCCAAAGGGCCTCAGGGGCGTGGCAAAGCTGATAGAGAGCCTGCTTGGCAAGTTCAAGGCCCTGAGTTCAAACCCCAGTTCTGCCAACCAATCCCCACCAAATTTTTATAGCTTGATTCTGACATGAAATATATCATTTATCTATCTACCTACCTATCTATAATTAATATAAGGTACTATTATAGTATTATTCAGAAACTGTACTTACAAAACAGGTGATGTAAAAATTATTTATATGGGACAAGTTAATCAACATTGGTATTCACTGAATTATTTGGTATTCAGCATGCATGGTCAGACTTTATATGATGCATAAGACAGTTCAGTGTTGAGGGGAAAGCAGCCTTTGAGGCCAAACAGCTGGGGTTAAATCCTGATTTTCTTCCCCTCATCAGCTATGATCTAGAGTACAGTTCCCAAGTCATTGCCTTAGGCCTTAGTTTCTTTATCTGTCAGATGGAGATAATATCTACCTCACAGGGTTAATATAGAGTCAACCTTTGTAAAATACTTCAAACATAGCCTGGACAGAGCAGTTACTAGGAAAGTACTCTACCATATTACTCTACAGATTAGGAACTAGGAAAGTATTATACAGCGTTACTCCATGTGTCAAGTACTAGGAAAATACTACACAGTGTTACTCAGAGAAAATATTAGGGAAGTTTTATATAGCATTACTCTACAGGGTAAGTAGAAATAAAATACTGTATAGTGTTTCTTTGCAGGGTAAGTAGTAGGGAAGTGTACAGTGTCACTCTGCAGAGTCAGTAGTAGGAAAGTACTGAGCAGTGTGATGGGCACAGTTCTTTATCTCAAGAGCTCATTATGGGGTTAAACTGAACTAAAGTTTCTCTGCCTGTTATGTCCTAGACAGTGTGCTGATCACTGGGGAAATCAAAGAGAGCTGGAGGTCATGATGTAAAGTGAGATAGGCTGCTACTAAAGATAACTGCTGTGAGATTTCATTCATACAAGGGTTATATAAAGCTGCCCTGGTAGTGATTGAGAATAGCGTGGTGGTGAGCAGAGGCTGGGGAGAGCAGGAGGAGGAAGGGAAGAGGCAACTGGTCAGCAGGTACTGTGTTACAGTTCGATTGCAGCAAGCAGTCCTGGTGTGCTGTTGCACAGTCAAATGAGGATAGTACACATTTAACAGAGCTGGAAGAAAGGATTCTCAATGTTTTTGACATAAAGAAATAAGGGAAGCTAGAGTAAGAGTAATCCTGTAATCCTAGCACATAGGAGGTGGGGGAAGATTGAGAGTATAGGTCTAGCTTGGCCCCAGTGTGAAATGGTCTCACAATCAAACCAGAAAGGATGCATGTAAGAGGAGACGTGCTTACTCATGAAACGCCATACATTCCTACATACCTAATGTTTTTGAGTATCAGTTAAACCTATATTTTAAATAAAACCCACAAAGGATGTTTATGAGGATGGAAAGGTGTGGTTCCTCCCTTGTGGACCTCCAGAAACTCTAGGAAGACGTAGGATCACACCATCAACAGGAACATGAGGGAGCAAGGAGGAGGATGCTGGCAACAGCCATGATCGTGAACATGCTGAGGACAAGAAGCCAACAAACATACTCGGAAACACACTCACACACACACACACACACACACACACTCAAACACAGACAACACTCACTCTTACACCCACATTTGACATGATTAAATCCTTGGGGTTAGTCTTTCCAGAAGACGAGAGAAATGAAATGAGCCCACAGGTGATGGTTGTGCTGTGGCTCTTAAATGTTCTCAAATGTTGTGTGCTGAAGACTCAGTCCCCAAGCCTATGAGGCGGTGGACTTTCAGGATGGGGGAGTTACTGGGGATTGTGCCATTGAAGGGGATATCAGAACACCCACGCCTTCCCTTTTGTTTGCTTCCTCCTCCAGGAGGTGATATCTTCCCCGCTGGGACATCCTGGACCACACCACAGGTTCAAAGCAGCGGGCTGAGCAGCTCTGGCAGGAGGAGCCAGAGCAAATCCTCAAGGAGGAATGTGAATTAGTTCAGGTATGTATTTTTGCCCCAGCGATGGGAAGCTGACTGACATACACCGTATGAGCTCAGATGTTTTCAGCTTCAATAAACGTTTTATTTGAGTCAATGAACAGGGTGCCACATTTGTGACTTGAACAATTCATAAGTAAAACATGAGATGCTTGATAGTCTCCCTATGGATGCTTTGCTGCTGTGCATTATATTATTCTTCACAGCATGCCTGCACTACTTTGCTGCATGTTTTGTCAATACAGGATGCCTCTATTTGTTCTCTTAATATGTTTGCCCCTAAACTGTCCGTTTTAATGATCATTTCTTATATTTCATATTTTGTGCTGTTTGTCCATCTCAGTATATTACAATCATAGTATATGAAATTATACACAAGAAAATTCAGCATTGCCGGTACAGAGTTAGATTTTGAAAAATGCAGGAATGCACCAACATATATTGTTATAAAATAAAATACCTCACTTTAGGGTACAATTTTTTTCCTAAAAAAAATCTACAGATTCATGGAAATTTCTCCTTCAATCAGCATCCAAATATATCAGAAAATAAGGTAACATGTGCTAATATGGAAGTTATTGATAAAACAATATCACCAGTGTAATATGCTAATGGAAAACGGTGCCAACGCACCCCATTTTCCTTGGCAAAGGTTTTTTTTTTTTTAATTTTATTTTATTTTATTTGAGAACATACTGTACAGAGGGGTTACAATTACATGGGCAGAAAAATGCATACATTTCTTACCAAGCATTGCAGCCTCCTCCTTTGTTTACCCTTCACCTCCCTTCCCAGCCTCCCTCCTCCCCCCCACCCAATCATACCCCCCCCTGCAAAGGTTTTACTCTTTGTCATAACCCTCATATGGGCTCCATTCCCTGGCAACCAATGGACTACTACTATTAGGCCACTCCAAGCAGCCTCTGGCTGTCCTGGCTACGGTTCCCCCTTCCCATTCTCCATTATAACAGGGCCCAAGAGCAAGCCACCCAGCGGCCATGTCCCAAAGTTCAAGCCAGAGGACAGGAGCCTACTGATCTAGGCAGTGGCTGCCAGGCCTTTCTAGAGTCAATACTGCAAGTTCAACATTCGCGTCAGTCTGGAGAAGACAGGGTAGGAGGGCTCAGGACGCAGGCCTGCAAGTTCTTGGTGGTGCTGGACATAGGGCAGCGGCAGCCCCATCTGCTCTGCCGTGGGGTTCTCCAGGGGACCAGCTTCCACTTGGGCAGGCGTCATGTTGTCTTCAAAACCTTGCTGATCCTCTGAAATGTCCATCTTGGGGCCTGCCAGGGGTGACATGGCCTCAGTAGCAGGGCTGTGGGCCGCTGCCAGTGTCTTGTCCTGGCCCTCTACGTCTTTCCCTGCAAGATGCAACAGGAGCTCCTGCAGCTCTTGCTTCTTCTGCCTCTTGTCCTGGGACAGCTGGTTGACACTCTCATCTTTTTCCCGATAGAGCTCATCCAGGACTTCCAGCTGTTCCTTGTAGAAGACTATGGAGTCTTCCATGGCGCTGACCTGTTCCGACAGCTGGCTGCACTGACGTTGGAGGTCATCCACTTGATGCTGGTGGTCCAGCTTGTCAGGCACAGGCAGGTTGTAGGTGAAGCAGATCTTCAGCTTCTTCTCCGGCACCCGTGTGTCCTGCTTTATCTTCCCAGATGTGCCGTGGTTCCAGATCTTGGGGAGGAGGCCCTGACGCTTCAGCTTTTTCTGGCAGTGGGCTGTCAGGTGGTGCAGGCACTTGCAGCGGGCCTGTTGCTCCCGCAGCTGCTGGCTGAGCTTTAGCTTCTTTGATTCAGCCACTGAGGGGGCTACACGGTAAAAATCCCACATGGTTTGTGGGTTGTCGACGTCCGCTGGGACAGTCACAGCAGCGGGAGTGGCCTCCTCACCCTCCTCTTCTTTGGTCACGGCTTCCCCTTCCCGAGGGAAGGCCAGGCAGCTCAGCTGGGCCCGCAGCTGCTTGTTTTCCTGTCGAGTGGCTTCCAGGCAACTCAGGGTGGCCTGTAACTTTTGGGGTACGGTCTGGATCGTCAGCTGATTCTGCACCTGCTCCTGCTGCAGCTGCTGCAGCAGTTGGGTCTGCCTCTGCAGGCGCTGCTGCAGGGCCTCCTTCTCCGTGCTCAGCTGCTGATTGGCAGCCAGGTGCTGCTCACAGGTGGCTCTAAGCTCCTGCAGCTGGGCCAGGTACCGCTCATGCAGCTCCTGCAGATCCAGAGCCACTTGGTCCTTGAACTCAGCCATTGCTTTCCACTCTTCCATCTTCTCCTCTCGCTGCTGCAGCTTCTCCTGCATGTTTCTTCCCCTGTTGCTCCGAGTGCAGGAGGCTGGCAAGCTCCTCCTTCTCAGCGCTCAGCCTGTGGCAGGTCTCCTGCAGCTGGGCCAGCTGAGCTGGCAGTTCTCGGTTGTGTGCCACCAGTGAGCATTGCATGGTCTCGTGCTCCTTCTCCATTGTCTCCAGCATCTTGAGCCGATGCTGGTCATCCTCCTCCCATACCTCAGCGTTCTTCTCCAGTAGCCACAGCTGCTGCTGTTGCTCCAGGTTCTGAAGATCGACGCTCTGGGTTTCTTTAACCGCGGTCTGAAGTTGTTCTTCCAGGTTCTTGAGCTCCTTCTGCAGAGGCAGGGCCTGGGCCTCAGCCTGAGATGGTCCCGCAGGAGGCTGGGCGTGTGGCAGCTCGGTCAGCTGCTCTCTCAGTGCCACCAGATCACTCTCTAGCTCCAACACTTGCCTCGCCCCTCACTCTTTCTCCTCTGCTCTCAGTTGTTTCACTTGTCCCAGGAGCTGCTGGACCTTCTCATTCCACTGGGAGCTCTTCACCTTCAAGTCCTCCTCCAAGGTGTGTCTCTCCAACTTGAATTCTGTCAACAGTTCTTTCATGTCATTCAACTCTTGCATCTTGACCTTCATATCAGCCTTGTGTGTCAGGAGCACATCCAGCCTCTCCTGCAGCTTCACGTTCTCTTCCTCCAGGTCTTCGTAACTTCTGGCCTTTTCCTGGAGCTGCAGCTGCATGCAGTTCAGGGTGTTCGTGAGCTCTATGTTGTTGTCCTTAGTCTCCTCCTGTGAGGTGGAGACTGCACAGAGTTTCATCTCCAGCTCAATTGCATGCTTCTTGGCAGCCTCCAGGTAGCTGGTGACCTGCTCCAGTTCCAGTGCTCTTTCTTCGGCTGCCTGCTGCATGTGGGCCAGGGCAGATTGTAAATCGTGTTCTTCGGAAGCTAACATCTGAAGAGATAGTTTGTGGATTTCCAGCTCTGTTTTCAGTGCTTCCTGCACTCAGGCCATCTCCTCCTTCTCTTTCCCCGATTGACCCTGTAGGGCTTTCTTCTCCTGCTTCAGGTGTTGCACCTCACTGCAGAGCTGCTGGTTCTGTGTTCGGCTGGCATGCAGGGCCAGCAGCAGGCATTGGTAGTGCTTTTCAAAGTCTTCCATGCTGTGGGGGCCTGTGATGCTGTTGACGCTGGTAGCTCTGCTTGTGCCCAAAGGTGGGGGAGGCTCAGGGTCGTTGTGATCTTTGACCACACCCTCAATTGAAATGCAGTCCCCAGTGGTGTTTACCTTGGGGTTCCTTCCAGCTTTCGTTTTGTCCTTCTCCTTAGATTCTGCAGGTCCACCAGGACAATTAGTCTGCTGGTATTCATGCAGTAGCTTCTTGTCGGTAGCTCTTGGGTTTCTACTTGTTTTCTTAGACATCTCAGCACTGGGATGTGGAAGGTGGGGCTGCCACATTCCCAGGCTCTCTGAGATCACCTCTCTTTTGACCTTCACCAGGTCGCTGGCTCGATTCGCTTGAATCTCGTGGATTCGCCTGAATCTCGTGGATTCGCCTGCTCACCGCTCTGCACCTCTACCTCCCTCAACTGCTTGGAGCGGTGTGAGTCAACAGAGCGAATACCGTGGTTACTAGGTGGCTGATCGCGTGGGCATGGCCTCAGTTCTTGCATCCCATTGGCCAGAGAGACACACAGGAAGCCTAGGGGCATGGTCAGAGTGTTGGGGGCCAGGCAGAGTGGGTAGAGTCAAGAGGAGAGCTGCACCTGCATGTCCTCCAACATCCAACCCTGTCATTTGGTTGGAGGTGCGGGGAGACCAGCTCTAGCTGGATAGCTGAAGAGTTTCCCAGGTCCCCTTCCTGGCTTCCATCACACAATTCTGGTTGCCACTTCATACCAGGCTTCCAACTGGCCTTCAGGAAGTAGGACCAAGAAATACAGCTCTCTGCCGATATTTCACATCTTCAGGTCTTCACTCCAGGCAGAATGAACTCTCTTGTTCTGATCACATTTACTGACACTTGTCTTCTGATCAAGGAGCCGCTGAGGTTCCTAATGGCTTAGATCTGTTGTTCTTCAGTCCCTCTGGGACCGGAGCAAGAGCACCAAGGGCCAAGGGCTTCCCTGCATGAATATTGGCCTTGCTGCCTCCCGCACACCTAGACCAGGCAGAGCAAAGATTTCCTAGACTGAAGGGAATTTGAGGCAGTGCAAATCCATCTCCTTTAGACATATCCCTGAATCTGACCACAGTACATGCTGCACACACTTTGGCTGATGATCTCAGAGGATTCAGAAACACAATCAAGGGAGGAATGCTGCTCCAGAACAAAGTCAGTCTGTTAGCCGAGAAGTCAAGTAACCAGCCACACCCAAATGATGCCCAGTATGTGTAGAGTCCAGGTTCTGGGAGAGCCCTGTACCACTCCAGAACCTCTGGAGTGCTATTGGTTGTCCTCTAGTGATGCATGAACTCATGTTGTGTGGCCAGATTTTCCTACCAGTGAACATTTTGTGCTTGTTGTGGTGGTACACCCCTGTAATTCTAGCGGGAGAGTCACAGGTTCAAAACAAGCCTGAGCTACATGGGAACCTCAAGGCTAGGCTGGGCAGCAGACCCTCAGACTGGGGATGTACCTGGGAATTGTCTCGGGAACATTCTTGTCCTCTGTCTTTGCTAATCTCTCAGGCTTCTACCTTGTAATGTCACTGTGGTATTGGTGTTGGTTTAGTAAGGACAGCACTTGGGATACAGTGTTTGCTAATGATGGTTTGTCAACTCTCGCTGCATTTAATCTGTATTATGCACATCATTGAAGACAATTAATTGCCATGAAATGCCTAGGGAAGCTCTACAGACCTGTCTTATGGTTTCTGTAACTCTTAAGATGTTTTTCATCCACAAGGCATGTACGCTTGCTAAGTAGGGTGACAGATTTACATGGAAATTTGGGGCACATATGAAGGAATGACAAAAAAAATCTCAAAGCTCTCTGAAAATTTTGTTCCACCAAAGAACCTTCTTCATTTCAGAAAGCCATAGATTCGGCATGGAAATTCCAATACTCACATGCTGAGACAGGAGCACCTTAAGTTCAAATCCAGCCTGGGTGCCTAGCAAGATTCTGTTTCAGAGGGGCAGGGGATGGGGGAGAAGAAACCCCACTACATGGTTATGCAATGCCTAATTGACAGAAGAGATTAGGAAGTATTGGCTTGCTTTAGTCTCCATTTTTTATAAACTAGACAGAACAAAAATAAAATGGCAATCAGATAGAGAATGTAGAAGATCTCTCACGCACACAGCTGCTAGAATATGGAGGCGTCAGTATAGCAGGAAAATGATCAGGATTCAAAGCCATCCTAGGTCTGAAAGTCCATGAGAGCCTTGTCTGCAATTAACCACCAAAAATATGGAAGTGGCACTGTGACTCAAGTGGTAGAGAACTTTGTCCTGGCCCTGATTCAAGCCTCAGTACTGGCATGTGCATATGCATATGCACGCACGCACACACACACGCACACACACACAGGTGCATGCATGTACGCACATTCTTCTGAATGGGCAAGCTCATTCCACCAGGAGATGGGATGTGAGGATGGAGTTAGCCCTGGGATGGAGGAAAAGAAAGGAGAACACACTTGACACTGTAAATTTTACCTGTGCAGCCCAAACCTGCTGCACAGCCTGCATGGCCCCTTAGCACTCTTCTGCCAGCAGGCCACGGGCCCATCAGCTCTGCCCAGAGAACCCAGTGATGCTGACTTGATAACTACTTCTTGGCATCAACCACAGAACCAACACCGCTTGAGATTAGCCAAACCCCTTGCAGGGACATACCTGTGGCTTTCAGTCCACACTCCCTGGAGATTTTCACATTTGCCCAAAAGGCATCTGGCAGCTCTTCTGGTTGCAAACACTCCCCATGGATTGATTTCGGGTTTTGCTGCCATCTCCGTCTTCAGGCCTTGGAGTCAAAGAAGGCGCCAGGGTGTGGTACCCCCGCGGCGGGTCTTCTGTTGTGCTCTTCCAAAATCTTTCGTGATTACAGGCACACCACGGGATGTTCTAGGTATCTTTCCAAAAGAAAAGATGTTTTTTTCATTCTTTATATTTTATTTTAGAATATTTAATTAGTTCTGTAGAGAGTAATCTTTTCTCAACTGGTAAGTCTTTCTGCAGAACCATTTCCTTGGTTTCTAAAACAATGCACACAAAGAACAGCTCCTTACAGTTCATGCCAACCAGCAAAGCAGAGATTCTGATTGTATTTATTTGATTTTGCAGACCTTTGGGAAGTATTCAAAAGTAGTGATAATTGCTTTCTGATGATTTCAGCATATATAAAAATATAGAACTATATATTATAAATATGATGTTAAAAATTAGAGATATGGAGGGACTGGGAGAGAGTGAGGGAAGGGAAGACACTGTAGGAAAGTTAATGTCCTCATTACCTGACTCATGTAATTGTAATCCCTCTGTACATCAACTTTAAAATAGCAATAAAGTAAATTTTTAAAAAATAGGAACATGAATGTGACCAGGTGTGAGGAAACACACCTATAATCCCAGTTACTCATCAAGCAGAGACAAGGAGTTGGAAGAAGGTTGGAGGCCAGCCTAAACAAAAGTGAGAGATGAGATGCTGGTTGGGATAAAACAACAACAACAACATCTAAAAGCAAAAGAACTGGTGGAGTGTCTCAAGAGATAGCATACTTAAGGGAGAGGCCCTGAGTTCAATCCCAGGGCTGGGAAGGTGGCTCAGTGGTACAGCGCTTGCCTTGCATGCCTGAGGCCCTGGGTTCAATTCCTCAGCATCACATAAGCAAAAAGAAAAAAGTCGGAAGTGGCGCTGTGGCTCAAGTGGTAGAGCACTAGCCTTGAGCTGAAGAGCTGAGGGACAGTGCTCAGGCCCAGAGTTCAGGTCCCACGGCCGGAACCCCCCCCCCAAAAAAAACCCCAAAACCAACCAACAACCACATTTATTTTTAAGAGAGAGGAATCTTTCTAGTGTGAGTATCTGGAGAAAGTTGTAGTGATTTCTGGGAGTAGGTTTTCTGACGGGAGGGGCATTCTTTATTTTTTTATTGTGAAAATACTGTACAGAGGGGTTACAATTACATGGGCAAGATAATGAGTACATTTCTTATCAAGCATTTTTGCCTCCTCCTTTGTTTCCCCTTCCCATCCCTTTCCATTCTCCCCCTGCCCCTCCACCCAATTCTCACCCCCATCAAAGTTGTAAAGTTCATTTTTCCACATAATGTCTTGTACATCTCATTGTTGCAATGGGTCCACCTGTATCCCTATTTAAACGATTTGTTTTTTCCCTTCCCCTCCACAAATTATACCAACATCAAATACAGTGAAAGCAGGGGTTATACCATGGGGGAAGGACATACAAAGCAACAAAGAAATAATCTTATAAATGTGTTAGAAACAATCACCTGAAAGAAAAAAACATTTGAATACATATCTTAGGGTTCATTTCCCTAACATCACCTTATCTGACCTTTTCTACTTGACTCAGACATATACTAGATATTGCAAATAAGGGAAACCATGGGATCTATGTTTCTTTGGGCCTGGCTTACTTCACTTAATATAATTTTTTCCAAGTCTTTCCATTTCCTAACAAATGGGGCAATGTCATTCTTTCTGATGGAGGCATAGAATTCTATTGTGTATATATACCACATTTTCTTGATCCATTCATCTACTGTGGGGGGATCTGGGTTGGTTCCATATCTTAGCTATGGTAAATAATGCTGCAATAAACATAGTTGTGGTGGTAGCTTTAGTGTGGTCTTGTTTGTGATCATTTGGGTAAATGCCCAAAAGTGGGATTGCTGGGTCATAGGGGAGCTCTCTGTGGAATCTTTTGAGGAACCTCCATACTGCTTTTCAAAGTGGTTGAACAAGTTTACACTCCCACCAACAATGCAGTAAAGTTCCCTTCTGGCCACATCCCCTCCAGCATCTGTTGTTATTAGAGTTCTTGATTATAGCCATTCTAACTGTAGTGAGGTGGTATCTCAATGTTGTTTTGATTTGCATTTCTTTTATGGCTAGGGAGGTTGAGCATTTCTTCATGTGTCTATTGGCCATCCTTCTTTCCTCTTCAGAGAAGTTTCTCCTTAAGTCTTTAGCCCACTTATTTATTGGGCAGTTGTTTCTTTGAAGATTTGTTGTTGGGGATTTAATTTTTTGAGTTCCAGGTATATTTTAGATATGAGACCCTTGTCTGTTGTAAGGCTAGTGAAGATCTTCTCCCAATCCGTGGGCTTTCTATTGATCTTGCTAGCTATATCCTTTGCCATGCCGAAGCTCTGCAATTTCATGCAATCCCATTTGTCCAACCTTTCTTTGGGGAGGGGCATTCTTGAAGGAGGGAAGGAGTGGAGAAAAGAAAC